ATCTTTTCAAAACACCCCCAACATATAGTCTTAATTGTGAAGGTTTTTTTTTTTAGCAATTTTAATAACACAACCAATGCTTTTTAACCAGTGAAGTCTCCCATGCTAAATGACTTTAATTCCCATCTTTAACCAAGTTGTAAAATTGGAAGATCATGAAATGATGAACTTAAGATAGAGATCATATCGTATGATGATAGACTTGAATTACATTTAGCTTTACCATAGTTGATAATCATCTCAAAAGCTCTTTCCACTGCTAGATGATTGGTCTGTGTACAGTTAGAAACCATACAAAATTATATATTTGTGATATAGCATGTGAACTATTACAATACAATTAGGTAGTACTATACAAATAAAATTTATATAATATTTTTATTTTAAATGATGCGACAATCTTAACACCTATTGTTTTAATATAATTACCACCTCTAGAATATAATTACCATAATATTCAGTATATAATTTTGTATACATGTAAATATTTTGGGCAGGGCTTCCCTTCCGTTTAGGTTTGTGGAGTTTATTTTGTTTTGATGATTTTCGTTTTGTTAGAATCTTTATGTTTATTATCCACATATAACAAATAAAAAAATTAATTGATCTGATAATTGTAATATATTTAATTTGTCAAAAAAAAAAGTGTATGATCTATTATCCAAAATATACTTGTCATTTATTTATTATTAGACAAATGTAATAAATTAAACATGATACGATTATCAAATTAATCTAAAAAAAAAATTTAAATAATATACACAAAAAATTTTATAAAATAAAGAATTTTGATGAAATAGAACCTATTTTTTCATGTGAAGCTTTTTTTGTTTTTCTTATGTCTTTTAGCCTTTTATCAGCATCAGTGCCAATCAAACACCATTATCAGTAAATGGACTTCTTGCCTTTGAGAGAGAGAGAGAGAGAGAGAAGAAAAAGAAGAAACAAAAACTCACGGTGTGGCTGACCATAATTCTTTCTTTTTCAACTTTTTGGCTTTTTCCATACAATGGCACTGCCACCACATCAAATTTTGAGGCTATTTTAAAAAAAAAAAAAAAAAAAATAGGCTCAGCGCCGGACAGTGTAGGTTGTGCCTACACTGTCATAGCCTCAACTTGTTACATCAACGGCTAAATTACCATTTTGCTCCTTTACATCAATTTAAAAAATTATAATTTTAGGGATAAATTTGTCATTTTACATTCAAACATCATTTCAACACACTTTTCAATACAACTCAACTAAAAATTCATCTCATCTTCCCAAACACAAAAACTAAAATAGCCTACTAAAATAGTCAAAAAGCCGAAAAGCCTCTAAAATAGCCACTTCCCAAACGAGGCCAATAACAGAATCTATTTAGGGTTGGTTTGGAAACTAGGTTGGCTTTTTCATTTTTTAACTTTTTTGACTATTTTAGCCTGGGCTAAAAAGTTTGGTTTTGGAAGGGCTTTTTGGCTTTTTGACTTTTTTGACTTTTTTTGTGAGAGAAGAGTGTAATGATTATGGGTTGGATGTGATGTTTTGTTTGTTGTGACTAAAATAATCAAACAAGACAAAATGCCCTAATACAAAAAAGCCAACTAAAAAAAATCAAAAGATATAATGAATTTTGGTATTTTTTTTTCCTGTGTTTAGTTATGCTATCATCAAATCCTACTTTACTCCACTTTCATACTCACAGAGAGATAGAGAGAGTACATGGATCACGAGACTGCAATCACCAACTCATCCCCAGACAAATTAAGCTCAACTCACATGTCTAGGTTTACAAACTGTCAAACACTTGTCTCACATCGATTTTTTAAATTACTCAAACTTTATTTATATATTTTAGAGGCTTCTTTTATTAATCAACTGATTTTAAATTGAATGTCTTCAAAAACAAAATATCATTGCTCAGTTTTCGGTTATTTCTTGTGAGCCAAGTATTTGCCTGGATTTATTTCTCTCATCTCGCCTCTCTCAATTATATGCACATGTGAATGAAAACAAGGAAATTGTAAAAAAACATATTTTTACTTCTATGTTAAAAAAAATAATAATAAAAAAAGAGAAAAAAAAAAACAAGAGAATAGAGAGTATGGTTGTGAATCATATATTTTTTTTTTTTAAAAAAAAGGAGTTTAATATTTTTGTAACTAAACCATTTTAATGGGCATTTTGTATTTTTGTAAGAAGAGGGAAAAAAAAAAAAAAAAAAAAAAAACATATCATATTATTTTAGATGAAATTTCTTTAAAAGTTAAAATAAAATGACTTTCACATAGCTTTCATATGAAACAAAGTGAAAAGGTTATATAAAAAACCATTTTCTCAAATATATATATATTTTTATACTAAGCACACAGTATATACAACTCAAATTAATAAATACATGTGAGAATCATTTTCTTTTTGTTTAAAAAAAAATTACGCCCAATTTAATCCGCATCTAATGTAGATTAAATCCAAATGTGTAAATTACAAATACACTCCCTGAGATTGATTAAAATATGAATCACCCCCTGTGGTTTTAGAAATTACATTTCACCCCCTGAGATTTCTAATTTCACAACATCGCCCATTTTATTTATAAATCATTAAATCAATTAACAGTTTTTAATGATGTTAGAAATATGTTTCAATTAATAATTTAGGTAATTTTATTATTGTATAGGCAAGGAATTATGAATTTTATTTTTTTAGTTAATCCTGTTAAATAAAAAATACTAACAAGGAGATATTTATAATTTTCTAAATTACAGGGGGCAATCTATATTTTAAGCAAATCTCAAGGAGTCTATTTGTAATTTACCCGAATCTAAGTTATATGCCTATTTCTATGCACTGTTCTTTGTCCCTTTTACTTTTATTAGTTCATACAGTTACTTTTACTATATAAACAACCACATGAATCAATGAAATGTATATATATATATATATATAAAAGGAATAGAAGGGAGTAAGTGGTCATATTCGATTATATGGCAAAATGGAAAAGGTAAATTGAATTAAAGACCTAACCTTTGGTTAAAACAAATGCATTTATACTATTTTCCTAATTAGGTTATTCAATTTTTTTAATTGAATAACAATAAATATAAATTAATTTCTTAAAATTATTATTATATTTTTTTTAATTTGATAAGAAGACAATGGTCATCTCAAATACAAAATTTGCTTATAATAATGAGATTTGGACCTAATTGGGTTGGGATTCATGCAGGACCTGGAATTAGCGAAGACGTTAGTGAGGCCCAACGGGATGTTCTTCGATGACGTGGCCAAGGAATCACTTCTAACAGAAGCGAGATACGGGTCGATGAGTCGGGTTTACATAGTGTGCGAAGTAGACCAACTTATGAAACCCGAATTTCAGAGATGGATTATTCAGAATAGCCCACCTGATGAAGTCAAGTCCATTGCAAATGCTGACCACATGATCATCCTATCAAAACCCAAGGAGCTTTGCCTCTGTTTGCAGGAGATTTCTCAGAAATATCATTGATTTTACTTGAGTGTTTTAATAGATTAAGCTCTATTTGGTAAAAATAGAAATTTATTAGATAGGTCTGTCTCATATTTTACATGATATGTTCTTACAATTCTATTAGTTATAGATCCATTATTTCTTATTTTTTTCCCTATATATTATATAAAACAACCAATATAATTGGAAGGGCACACAGTTTAATTGGAATTCTTGAAAGACAGGATAATTTTTCCAAAAATAAATGTTAGTTAATTGGTTTTTACACTAAATTACTATTCTAACTCGAAAGTTAAATCCACTTTTAAAAAAAATAAACTAAAAAAATAGGTTTACATGTCATTTTCTATACAATTTTCATTTCAAAATAGTAATTATTTATTGCTTTTGTTTATGGATTATATAGTTCTTTAAGAGGAGCTCATTACACTCTACTATGGATTGCCGATTTTCATTCGATCAAGGCCCAGAAAATCCACCGACATCAGTAATCTTTGGTCCAGAGTACATGGCCACCAATGTCTATCAACATTGCCAAACAGAGGTCAGTGTTTAAGGCAATTTAATGCCGTCGAGTAATTAAAGTTATAAAATCCAAAAATTAATGCAGACGTAACTGAATTAGATTATTTTGCACAAATTCTGCTCTCCTATAGTGGACCCTACACCTAAAGTGAATCTACATAATATATTATTTTTTTATATTTTTCTGTGTCTAAATTTTTAATTTATGACATTATTAAAAAAGTTTCACAGAAAACTGCACCCAAAAAGAGTTCAAGTGATATTTTTGTAACTAAACCATTTTAATGGGCATTTTGTATTTTTGTAAGAAGG